CCACCAGTGTCTCTGGATCTTTCATGGTCTCTTCTATCACCTTGGTGCCCACCAAGGTTACTGACTTTTCTACGCAGACCATCACCAACACAGCTATATCAGGTACTGACCACTATATCTTCTCTAAACACACACATTTACCTCCAGTGACAACCATCACCTTTTTGCCTATTTCTATCATTTCTGCTCTAGACTCCAGTCAAGCCACCACTCCTATTAGACATAATTCGGTTCCTTCTTCTTGAATCCTGTTTACTTCTGTTCCGGTCTCACCTTCTTTTGTTCAGTGTCCTTCATTTCCATCCCAATCTTTGCAAATATCCCCACATACACACCCCAACACACACACATTAATTATGTTCCATCACTTCTGCCTAGAGGGAACTCACCTCAACTCTGTGACAAACATCTCAGTTTGTTAGATGCTGTCACTTCTGTGCCAAGCATAATCAACTCTGTCCCACCCACCACCTGTGACATTTAAACCTGATCTTCAATATACTGAGAGCTGACCTAGGGGCTGCTAACTATACTTCATGGGCCAAACCTGACCTTTTATCTGATTTCTCAAAATAGGTGCTATTGAAACACAGCCACACGTACTCCTTTATGTCTCTAGCTGCTTTCCAGCCACTTTGCATACTTGTGTGAGAGAGACTTTGTGACCCAAATAGCTTAAAAATTTACTGCCCGATGACTTTTTAAAGAAGAAGTTTGCCAACCTTTGCTCCAAGGTTGATTAAGACAAAAGTGATTTTTTTCATACTCTGCCACTTGTTCTGAATAAAACCACCTTTGCACTTGCCATCGGCACTAGTGTTGGATGTGATTCTACATATTTTGTTCTGATGCACCCACTGCTGTTCCAGTGACTGACATTGCTCTTGTATCAGTGTAACCACTTCTGGTCTAAGCACAACCTTGCTGCTGATGCCACCTGCTGTATGTATTAGGTCCCCTTGTCTTGCTCTGAGCCCAGCCTCTCCTGTCCGTAGGGCCAGCCTCCTCCCTGCGGGTCAGGTTCTTCCACATATGTTCTGAGCACACTCACCTCACCTTTGTTGACCACCCTAATTGTGTTAGATTATGTCACCTGTGCTCCCAGCCATGGCCACGTCTCACCCCTGAGTAAATCTGACTCCATCATCCTTTCCTCCAGCAACATCCTTACGTCCAGTGAGTACATCACAAGAATATCAGACTCTGTCCCTTTTATCCCACCCCACCTTCTCTATTTGGGTGATCACTTCTAAATTTGAGTAAGTCTTCTCCTACATCAATTACAGTTACATTTCCTCAGTCTTAGCCTTCACCATCACCAGTGGACATAGTCTACATCTTCTTCTCTAAGACACTCACCTCTACTCTGGGGACCATTGGCTCAGGTGAGTCACCTTCTACCATCTCTCCTCCCACCACAACAGCTCTTCTCAAACCACCACACCCATGAGTGTGTTAGATCAACCCTTCTTCTCTAAGTACACCTGCCTCCCTTTCAATTACCTGTTTCCTAGGCACCAGGACCCCTGGAACCAGACCAACTACCCACATCTCTGTCACCATGGCCCTTGCAATGGACTCTATATCCCCTGCTATCAGGAATATTGTCCCTGAGATAGCCCTAAATACCTCTGACCTGGGCACATCCACTGGTGGAGGACCATCTACCACCTCTGTTCCAGGTACCAGGAACACCAGGATGAGATCCACCCAGGTGTCAATCTCCACTCCTGGAAAAAGCATTACCTCCCCCAAAAGAGGCCCAGTCATCACAGGCACAAACACAGTTACCAAGAGTCAAATGCCAACAAATGAGACTAAGCAAGGAGATATTTGCAGCCCTGGGGCATCATCCTCATTTCTCTGTCTGTAGTCATAGTGGCTTTTGGACTGTTAATGGGACTGAGTTTCTGCCTGGTGAGTTACTGTGAGTAGAGATAGAGAAACCACCTACATGATGGATCATGAGTGGGAATAGGATAATGAGAACAGGATCTCTAGGAAGTTCAGGACAGGAGAGCAGTTTGTAGAGATCACATACACCCTAGCCCAGTCAACATAAGTGTAGCAGGAACATACCTGTAGTCTCACAAAGTCAGCTTTGTCAGGTCATTGCAACAAGAGAAACTGTACACCAGAGGGACTAAGAGCTTTGTATCAAACTAAGGAAAAGAGTCATTATAATATTGGGGGAGTGTGGAATTTGGGTCAAAGTTAAATGAAGCATAGTGTTCTCAAGCTCACAACAAGGCAGGATGAGTACAGGGTCAACAGCTTTTCCAGACTGTGAAGCGGGCTCAGTTTCCTTGGGGATGACAGTTACAATAGATGGGAAATGCTGTATAGTTGACCCCTCACAGTCAAAAATCTGTATAACTTTTGTCTCCCCATAAACTTAACTACTAGCAGCCACTGTTGACTGGAAGTCTTACCCATAAAATAAACAATAATTTAACACATATTTTGTATGTTACATGTAATATACTGTATTCTTACAACAAAATAAGCTAGAGAAAAGAAAATGTTAAGCAAATTCTAAGGAAGAGAAAATATATTTACAGTATTGTACTATATTTTTATTGAAAAATTCTGCATATAAGTGGATGAACACAGTTTAAAGCCATACTGTTCAAGGGTCAAATGTATTCAGAAACTCTTATCTGCTTCTGGGTTGGAAATTGAAGCTACCTCTCTGTGTTAAAGTAACTTAGATTCTCCAGACAACAATAGGGTATTTGCTTCTTACAAATATAATTTCAAACAGGAAATTTGTGATAATCTATGTGTGTAGAGAACCTAATTTTTCATTGACAAAATCACTGGAAGTGAGTAAGCCACTGAAAGAAGGGGGATGTTATGAAGGTTTACAACTGCAGTGTGTCTTTGGGGAGAATATTCTTTCTTGTGGACCTTGCAGCTGGGTTTACCCATGTTGTCATGCCAACCTGAGGAATGGCAGGACAGACTGTTACTTTCTCAGTGTATTTTTCACTTTCCCACATAGCATGATATAAAGACCACAAGAGAGGGAAAGACAGAAAATGTAAATAACAGATGTAGTGAGAAGCAGGAAAAAGGAGAAGAAAGGTGAAGTGAAATCTATGGGAGAGGTAAGTGTACGAGTCTATGTGCTGTGAATACATACTCGAGAATACAAGTGCAAACTTTTTTAGGTAGCACAGCTCAAACAGGCTGGACATTTCAAAATACTTTACTAAATACTAAAAGAGCAGATAAGAAGGAAATACCCTTCTCAAGGACAGAAGCCACAGAAACACTCACTCTCCTGTAGGGGAGGCTTCTGATACTCTGAGACAGGACATGTGTTGAGGCCCAGAGCCCCCTGCAATTCTCTGTTGTGTGATAACCACATACCCACAGCAGACTGCATCCCTGCATTCTAATTCTCTGTCTTGGTCTTAATCTTCTATTCTAATGTATTTTCCTTGTTTTATCTTTGAAAATATATTTATAATTTTACTTTTTGGCTGGATGTATTCCTGGAAATAGTTTTCAACATTTCTAGGGTGACCCATAAAAATAAATAAGAAATTTACACACTAGCCACAAATGATGGGCATAATTTCCAATTGGTTTACTTGTGTTTCTTACCTCAAAATCTTGATTGTTCACCATGGTGAGAACAATGCAACTTTCCAGCCATGAGCAATTCTTCAAATGTTTAAGATAAAGATGTAATAGGAGCACCTGTGTGGCTCAGTTGTTGTGTGTCTGACTCTTGATTTTGGCTCAGGTCATGATCCCAGGTTTGTAGAATTGAGCCCCACGTTAGGGTTCACTCAGCATGGAGCCTAGTTAAGATTCTCTCTCTCTCTCTCTCTCTCTCTCTCTCTTTCTCTCTCTCACCCCCAGCCCCTCTTCTTTTCTCTCATTCTCAACAAAAGAAAAAGATGTAACAACAATTACTAGCACTTTAACTGTTTACTAAGTGCAAGGTCCAGAGCCAAGAGTGCAAAATAGCCTTGTCCTTCTTTACTCTGCATAACCACCTTGGGGGAACATACTCTTATTATCCCATTTCATAGACTAGGACACTGGAGTCAGAGACTAAAGTAACTTGCTGATGATCACAGGGCAAGGCTCCAATTCAAGTCTGCTTGGACTGAAGAGCCCATGCTCTTAGCTGCAGTTTAAAACCAGTTCTCCAACTTTTGGCATTTTGTGGGCCTTCTCTTATCTTTTTTTAAAAACTGAAGTATAATTTATAAGAAGTGCACAAATTTTAAATGTACAATTTGATTAAATTAAAAATGTGCACATACTTTTATAATCACCACTCAGTTCAAAATACAGAAGACTTCTATCATTTGAATAGTTTCCTGTGTGTCCCCTCCCAGTCAACCCAGTATCTACCCAACCAAAAGTAAATACTATTCTGATCCTTATTTTATGAACTTTCATTTCTTTTTTACCTGTCCTCATAGACATGCAAATTTCTTTGATCATTAGCACAACAAAAGACTCCCTATTTCTGAGAGACTCCACTGCGTAGGTACAGGATGTGGATTTACCCTTGTCTTGAAATTTTAGTGGCATATAATCTTATCAAAGCACAGAGTAAGATCACAACATTCACATAAGTGCAATAATTGGAAGGCTGTTTTCTCAGAAGAGTGAATAAATAAATAATAAGATGAGAACCAGCAATATCACACCTACCAAAAAAAGGATAAGAAGACAAAAGATACAGAAAAGTGAAAACTTGTGATTCTAGATTTAACCCTAGTAATATATATTTTTTTCTTTTTTAGAAGGACTTTTTTCCTCTGATAAAGAGAGCATTTATAACCTTCATGATTACAGAATTGGCATTGGTCCAGACCTGAACTCAGGACTGAGCTCTGGGATGTTCCATAGTTGGGAAAATAAACTGGTTCATGGAGGAGCATATGGATTAGGACATGGAGTGGGCCATGATGTGGACCATGAATTGAGCCACACTCATGACCGTGGTTATGTCATGAGTCACAGCAGAAGTCATGGACACGGAGGAGGCCATTACAAGAACCATGAAATGGATCACAGAGGAGGAAGCCAAGGACGCCGTGGAGGACAAGGAGAGTACGGACAAAGACTGAACAATGAAGGATATTCTAGAAAATATTGGAGAAGGGGCGCCTGGGTGGCTTAGTCGGTTAAGCGTCCGACTTTCGCTTAGGTCATGATCTCGCGGTTCGTGGGTTCGAGCCCCGCGTCGGGCTCTGTGCTGACTGCCAGCTCAGAGCCTGGAGCCTGTTTCAGTCTGTGACTCCCTCTCTCTCTGACCCTCCCCTGCTCACGCTGTCTCTCTCTCCTAGAAATAAATAAAACATTAAAAAAAAAAAAGAAAATATTGGAGAAGAAGGGTATCATGGAGAAGAAGGCAGTGACCATAAAATGGATCAGGATGGACTTCCAAAAAGTCTTTAGGAAATTGGCCTTTGAGGTGGTCATGATCAAGGTAAAGAAAAAGAACCAGAAAAAAGATCACAAAGAGTTTCCCAAGAGCCAGCCAGAAATATAGAGAAAGATTCTAGAGGAAACTTGCAGCTTTCTCAAGTTTACATGTGAGCTCAAGTGAAAATATTCTCTGGGCTGAGCCATAGTTCAGAAACTCTTAAAGTTAACAATCTCAGAACAGTTTCTCTTTGATTTCCTGATGTGCAAGTGATAATAATCTATGTGCTTTCAGCTTTGGATTTCTACTTTTTAGTTTCCTTGGGATGTAATGCAACCAGTAAGAAGGGGAAAAAAAGCATTATTATGGCTTTTTTTTTTAATTTTATTTCTAGGAGAGAGAGAGAGAGAGACAGCGTGAGCAGGGGAGGGTCAGAGAGAGGGAGTCACAGACTGAAACAGGCTCCAGGCTCCGAGCTGGCAGTCAGCACAGAGCCCGACGCGGGGCTCGAAACCACGAACCGCGAGATCATGACCTAAGCGAAAGTCGGACGCTCAACCGACCAAGCCACCCAGGCGCCCCTTATTATGGCTTTAAAAAAGTACCTTGAGGCATCTGGGTAGCTCAGTTGGTTAAGTGTCTGACTATTGATTTCAGCTCAGGTCATGATCTCACAGTTCTTGGGATCAAGCGCCATGTCAGGAACCATGTTGACAGCATGGAGCATGGTTGGGATTCCCTCTCTCCCCCCCCCCTCTCTCTCTGACCTTCTCCCACTCATGCTTTCTCAAAAATAAACATTTTTTTTTATGGGTGCCTGAGTGGCTCAGTTGGTTAAGCGTCAGACTTTGGCTCAGGTCATGATCTCACGGTTCGTGGGTTCAAGCCCCACGCGGGGCTCTGTGCTGACAGCTAGCTCAGAGCCTGGAGCCTGCTTCAAATTCTGTGTCTCCCTCTCTCTCTGACATCCCTTGTTCACACTGTCTCTCTCTTTCTCTCAGAAATAAATAAAACATTAAAAGAAATAAATTTTTTTAAAACACTTCATAATATTTGTTGTAGCCAGATCACTTGCTTACTTGTTTACCTGTTTGGAGATTCTTTTTTCCCTTTTTCCTTTGTTACTGAGTGCTTACTACATGCTAAGCATTGTACTAAGTGACTTTAAATGCACTATCATATATGATTGTGAAATTTGTAGTCTCAAGACAATCTTTTGAAAACTTCCACTTTTATGGCAATATAGTGAATAAGATATGTTAGCCACTCCTCTCAACAAAAGCAGCAAAAATTGCCAGTTAAGTATAGAAAGAAAATATTTTAACTGTATCAATTAACTAGGTAGATAGTAGGTAATATTTAGATCAACAATGGAGAGAAGGCAGAGACTGACAGAGGCTCAAAGAGAGCTCTGAACCAGCCTTTGCATTGAGGGCATCTGCCAAATCTGGTTAACGTAAGCTTATCTTCTCACAGCTTCTTAGCAGGTAGAGTACAGGAGACAAAGTCCAAGACCTGAACAAGGGGTGGAGTCTAATAGGAGATCCTAAATAAAGCTGAGATATTAATGGTGAAAGCCTCTAGGCTAACTATATAGTTAAACTAGAATAAAACGACATTGTCCATGGTGCACACGGGACTGAGAAAGTTCTATCTTGAAACTGAATCCTGAGTAGAAGGGCAGAGGTGAAAAATCTCCCCAGAGAATTTGTAATCACATGGCATTCTTCATTTGTTTTGTTTTGTTTTGTTTTAAGTCAAAGGAGGGTAAATCTATTGAGTCATTTTGTAATGAAAGCAACATTTAAAAAAAAAACACTAATAGTAATATTTCTTAGAGGAAAATGGCAGCCCTTTCATTATCTGCTTAAATCAGCAGTCTAAGAGGACAGAAACAACTCAGGTTAAAAACTATTGTTGATTTAATTTCAAAGACCTCTAACAAGAAAAGAAAAGAAAAGAAAAGAAAAGAAAAGAAAAGAAAAGAAAAGAAAAGAAAAGAAAAGAAAAGAAAAGAAAAGACATAACACCTATCATACTAGATGCTGAAAGCAAGAGACCTCTGCTTCATTGAAAAATGAGATCACATCAAGGATATCTTGGCAAAACTATGTCAGTTGATCTTATGTCATTGACACCAGTTGTGGAAATGGTTTTTGTGGCTGATTGAAGAGGCAGATTCCAAAAGCAGTGGGAAGTCACTCTCTAATTATATCAGGGTTGAATCCTGACCATGGTAAAAGGTACACAAGAGGCATTCTGCAAGCACCTGCTAGCAGCCTGATCTTCACTGAACTGATTTCTTTCCTTCCTTCATTTATTTTTAACTTTAATTTAGATAAAGAGAGAGAGCAAGTGTGAGTGGGGGGAGGAGTAGAGAGAGAGAGTGAGGGAGAGAGACTCTTAAGCAGATTCCACACCCAGCACAGAGCCCAACTCTAGGCTTGATCTATCCACTTTGAGATCATGACCTGAGCCTAAATCAAGAGTCAGACACTTAACTGACTGAGCCACCCAGGCACTCCATCTCTCTGTCTTTTTCCCTTCCTTCCTCCCTCCCTCCCTTCCTTCCTTCCTTCCTTCCTTCCTTCCTTCCTTCCTTCCTTCCTTCCTTCCTTTCTTTCTTTCTTTCTTTCTTTCTTTCTTTCTTTCTTTCTTTCTTTCTTTCTTTCTTTCTTCCTATTTCCCTCTATCCTTCTTTCTTTCTTAGTTGAGGTATAATTGACATATAACATGTTAGTAGTTTCAGGTGTACAAGATAATGAGTCGATATTTGTATACATTGGGAAATGATCACCACAATAAGTGTAGTTAATATCTGTCTAGGTTTGTAGCTTCAAATCATACAAACTAGGTGACAGGAAACCATCTTAGAACCATTTATTGTTTTCTGGGTCTCCTTCATCTTTGAGAAGATTCTTCTTCCCTATTTCTTTGTCTCTTCCAAATGTCACGTGACAAGTAAGGAGAAAATCACTGGGATGTGCTACAAATTAAAATCCTAAAATACACTGGCTACTAAATATATATGTTTTTGTTTTACTTTTTGTTTTTCCTTTGTTCTTTATAATTTCATGTTTACTATGTGCCAAACACTATTCTAGTACCTTTAAATACACTACATTTATTTCTCAAAAGAATTCAGTGAGAATTTAAATTTCTGGTTCTGTAATGGGCTAACTGACTTAAAATATCTTGAAAAACTTAATATAGTGGATTACACAATAATCTTAAATGAATCAGTGAGTTGGTGGGAAAGTAAAGAATGTTAAAATTAGAGGCGCCTGGGTGGCTTAGTCGGTTAAGCGTCCGACTTTCGCTTAGGTCATGATCTCGCGGTTCGTGGGTTCGAGCCCCGCGTCGGGCTCTGTGCTGACTGCCAGCTCAGAGCCTGGGGCCTATTTCGGAGTCTGTATCTCCCTCTCTCTCTGACCCTCCCCTGCTCACGCTGTCTCTCTCTCTCCTAGAAATAAATAAAAATATTTTTAAAAAACTGAACCTATAAAATATATTTTTAAAAAAGAATGTTAAAATTAAAGGCTAAGTTAAGGTAGGAACCCAAGAAGGTAAGAGGAGTACTGAAGCCAACGTTAGCCAAACTCGGTGAACTTAAGCTTCTGGTAGCACAGCCTCAGTCCGACTGGCCAGCACAGGTGGGGTGGGTATCACAGTAAGCCCTCACATAAACCTGCAACCTTCAGGGAGAGTGTAAGCTAAAAATAAACCCACTCTTCCTCTCGGGAAATGCAAGCAAAATTTCCTGTCTCTCTAAACTTGGAGCAGGGAAAATATCTCTGGAGAAATAACTTGTAACCACATACTTTACATGGCTTGCAGTTCCAAATCATGGGTTACTGAAAAGACCTGAAGGCTATAATTTAATTTATGAGAATCCTCAAATGGTAATGTGTCTGTATGTTGGCCAAAACATGTAAATTCTCTACGGAAGGTCAAGCCCTCATCTTAGGCTTCAAAGTACTTCTACAGATAACTTTGCAAGAAAAATAAATTCAGTCATAAATCTCAAGTAAAACCATCTCAGTCAGAAACCATCAGTGAAAACCAGCAAGAAACAAAACACAAAAAGACAGCAAGATCAGATCACAAAAACTAAAGGTATTAGAATTCTTAAATACAGAATATAAAGCAAGTAGGTTTACTCACACTGGTAGGTTTAGTCACACAGAGTGACTAAAATGAACAAATCAGGAAACTATAGATGCTGGTGAGGATGTGGAGAAATGAGAACTCTCTTGCACTGTTGATGGGAATGCAAACTGGTGCAGTCACTCTGGAAAAGGTTGTAGAGGTTCCTCAAAAAATTAAAAATAGAACTATCCTATGCCCCAGCAATAGCATGTCTAGGAATTTACCCAAGGGATACAGGAGTGCTGATGTATGCATAGGGGCACATGTACCCCAATGTTTGTAGTAGCACTTTCTACATTAGCCAAATTGTGGAAAGAGCCTAAATGTCCATCAACTGATGAATGGATAAGGAAGGGAAGGAAAAAAAAATAGTTACAAACAGGGAGGGAGGGAGGCAAACCATAAGAGACTCTTAAATACAGAAAATAAACTGCAGGTTGATGGGGGGTGGGGAGAGGGGAAAGTAGGTGATGGGCATTGAGGAGGGCACTTGTTGGGATAAGCACTGGGTGTTGTATGTAAGCCAATCTGACAATAAATTATGTTAGAAAAACAAAACAAAACAAACAAAACAGAATGAAAGCTCCAGGAATACAGAAACTATACTAAAAAAATAAAGCAAGTAGGTTTAAATGTGTGCCATGGCTTTATGGTTGTCCATTAATATCTATTCTCCATCTTTAATGAAAATATTCTCAAGTTTTAGTTTAGCACATGCCCACCCTAGTAGTCACTATATTCTCCAGTCTCTCTTTCAGCTTACTGTAGCTGCCTGACTATCTTTGGCTGATGGTGTTTAAGCAAATAACAATAATTTCTCATGAAGTTAAAAATTAAGATGGAATTAAAAGAATTGTTAACATTAGGGTATGAGTAGGGAACTGGGTGTAGAATTCCAAGATTCTTGGATTGCTTTGAAAGAGAGTAAAGACACTAATTACATATAGATTCTGATAAGTGTGCATGTGAAAAAATTTTAGGGTTATGTCTAAAGGGTGGAATCTGGGCTTGAATTCAGGACTTTTGCCTCCAAATAATTCTAGAGGGGAAAGAAAAGGATTTCTTAGAGTGCTATTGGCCAATCAGCCATAGAATGGGATTATGAGATTGCCAGGAATCTAGAGCCCAGCCTGTTATTGAACAATTTCTCACACTTCAGCCTCAGGAACTGACCATCGCAACTTCTGGGCTGATCTGCATCAGTTTTTTCCAACCCACTCTGTCCCCTCCAGATTCACTCCTTCATATCTCTAGCCACCTCCTGCTTCTTTCAAACAAGTCTTACATGTCAGGGATATTTGTTCACCTACAAATAAACTATCTGAGAAGTTGCATCTTCCACAAAGTTTTTCATTAATGGGAATGAGGAGGGGTACCTGGGTGGCTCAGTCAGTTAAGTGTCCAACTTCGGGGCTTAGGTCATGATCTCACGGTTTGTGGGTTTGAGCCCCACATTGTACTCTGTGCTGACAGCTCAGAGCCTGGAATCTGCATCTCCCTCTTTATTTGAATCTGCATCTCCCTACCCTGCTCACGTTCTTCGTTAGGCTTAGGAGAGGGAACATCTGAAGGATTCTAGGACAAAGAAGATCCTACAGATTCCTCTGAAAACAAATAAGAGGGGGAACTCCTATGGTGGAGGATCAGAAGGGGAACCTTATACCACTCCTTCACCTGCTATGAGCCTGACAAGGGGCTTGTTCTGCACATTTGACACTCCTCATGCCCTTAGCCCTAATGCCCTAGAGACCCCAAAGATGGCTTTATCAACCCCTGGATCTCTCTTCCCCTGTTCATTCAGTGTGGATTGATGAGTGCTTACTGCATACCCAGTAATGCTCCATCTGTCTTTTGTCTATAACCCAGAAGCCCAGATCCCTATTTCCTGCTCTCTTTTGAGTCTCATATTTCCACTTGATTCAGAGATGTGGAGTACCACCCTCTTAGCACACTTCATTAGGGCTCTTTCCTTGCCAAAGCAGGCACACAGAACTTCTTGGCCAGGAAACAAAGTCTTACAGTAGAACAGGTTTCTGACCCCATCTCTGCCTTGGAGGGTAGGTCCCTTCCACTCTGACAAATTTAATCTCTTTATACCAGTCTACTTCCTGCTCTGACCCACCCAGTCCAGTGCCCTGCCTAGTGTGATCATGTCATTCTCCTTTCTCACCTTCCTCTTGACCCCTAGTCTATTCCTTCCCAAGCTCAGTATTGTTTTTTTAACTGCTCAGAGTTGGCAGAGGAATAAGTCATCTTCCCTACTCCTCCCCAACCCGTATGAAGCTATAAAGGTCCTTGAAGTTCTTCCATTATAAAGAAAGAGGCAAGAACATTGCATGAAAGAAGCTTATAGAACCCAGGCATCCAGTCTTCTGCCCACTAGGCTCAAAGTTCTTCCAAAGAACAAGTACTTGGGAGACTCAAGCTCCTGGAAGCTCTATATTTTTTCTCTTCACCTTGAACTCTCCTTTCTCAAGAATCCTGTTCTTTGCCCTCTAGATCTTGGCCACAACTGGGATTTGGGCATCTTACTTTCCAACCACAATGAGACAGATCAAGATGCACAAAGGACATGTTATTCTTAAGTGTTGGCTACTATTGCATCTCCTACTTTTAGAAACTGGTAAGTGATTTCCTTTAAAAATGGGTAATCTGAGAACCTCTGAGGTGCTTTGGGAGATGCTGACCACTGCTAGGACTAACTCTGGTTCTCTTCCACAGAATGAGGATCATTGTTTTTCCCCAATGACTTCAGTCTAACTAAGTGTCACCCAGGAGGCAGTTAGAACCCAGGATTTAAAACTGTAAACTCTGGTCTCAGATTGCCTGTGTGTAGATCATGACTCCACTGTTACCTGTGTACTGTGGATGAGTTGTTTAACTTCTCTGTGCCTCCATTGCCGCATCTATAAAGTGGAAATAACCTGTGTGGTTGGCTGAGGCGGGGGAGGGGAGGTTAAATACTAAGAACAAAAAGAGTTAACTGTTGTGTCATTCCTACTCTTGATCATCTCAGTTTCTTTTAAGTTTTACTCAAGATTCTTATCTTAATCCAATTTGTACCATATTGCTGATATGGGGGAGTCTTCCCAAAATAGAGATAAAACTCTAATCCTATGTTAGTTCAAATAAGCTGAGGGGAAAATACACATGTGTGGAGTGAGGTGATAGGCACCCATGTTCCACTTAGTGGTAAATGAGCTACAGGTTAATTTTGGTTATCTGGAGGAGGTTGAGTATCTTTGTCCTTCAGTGCTGTTAGGGGGAAAAATAGATATAACCTTAACTTGGTATGTGCACCCAAGTTTGAAAAGATTCCCTACACCTTAAAACCCTTAATCCTGAAAGATCTTATATGTTTAAGTTACATATAACTTATTCTTCAGCCTCTGGCATAAAGATCAGGAACCTCTGTCATAGTAGCACTCTCCACAATAGCTAAAACATGGAAAGAGCCTAAGTGTCCATCAACAGATGAATGGATCAAGAAGATGTGGTTTATCTATACCATGGAATACTACATGGCAATGAGAAACAATGAAATCTGGCCATGTGTAGCAACATGGATGGACCTCGAGGGTGTTATGCTGAGCGAAATAAGTCAGGCAGAGAAGGACAAATATCATATGTTTGCACGTATAGGAGGATTAGGAGGAACTTGACGGAGGAACAAGGGGGAGAAGAAGGGCGGAAATGGTGGGGGAAAGGGAGAGAGGCAAACCATGAGAGACTCTTGAATGCTGACAAAAACTGAGGACTGATGGATGTGGGGGGGAGGGGGGATGGGCATGGAGGAGGACACTTGTGGGGATGAGCACTGAGTGTTATGTGGAAACTAATTTGACAATAAACTATTTGTAAAAAAAAAAAAAAAGATCAGGAACCTCTGGAAATTTCATGCATATAGAATCATTCAGCCCCTTGTTGAAAGGCCCCATCTCAAACTCTGATTCATTTAATCTGGAGCAGTCTGCCTAGGACCTAACAAGCTACTCAGACAATTTTGATGTAGATATTTTCTGAATAACACTAAAAAATATTTTCTAGAAAAGGAGCAATACTAATTAAGCATGAATTAATCAATATATACTAGTTTCACCTGGCTTCTGCAATTCCTTTATAATACTTCTTATCTGTATTGGATCTTATACAGCAGAATATGGAATAAGCTTACTATCAGTGAAACTAGGTTATGTAATCCTGGTGCTGGGGATCGGTGGGAAGAGCAATTTAGCATTGTGGCTGAAAATGCAGATCCAATAGCCTGGGTACAAATTCCTGCTCTACTATTTACTATCCGTATAAACATGGGCAAATGTCAACATTTCTAAGCCTCAGTTTCTTCATCTTAGCTGTTGATAATAATAGTATCTAATTCATAGCGCTGTTAGTGAGCATCAAATAAAACTATCCATGTAATGAATTATTTAACCAAGTATTGAGCAGAAAGTACTTAGGCTCAATGTATATGTTTGTCATTATTTATGATTATCAGCAGGTATAACATCTAGTGATTTTAACACATCAGGCACAACCTCTGGTGAAACCAGTACAGTTCCCAACACTGGATCTAGTGTGACTTCTAGTGGAACAAACATGGCCTCTAGTACTGTATCCAGTACAACTGGAGGGAGCAGAACACCTGTCAACACTGGATCCAGCACAACATCCGGTGGGAGGAGTACCGCCTCCAACACTGAATCCAGTGTGACCTACAGTGGTTCCAGCACAGCCTCTGGAGGGGCCAGCACACCTGTCAACACTGGATCCAGCACAACCTCTGGCAGGACTAGTACAACTTCCCAAACCAGACCCAGTGTGACCTCCAATACTGAATCTAGCACCACTTCCAGAGGAAGTAGTACACCTGTTAATACTGGATCCAGTGAAACCTCAAGTGAGACCAATACAGCCTTCAACACTAGATCCAGTACAACTTCTGGTGGGACCAGCACGCCTGCCAATACAACCTCTAGTGGAACCAGCATAGTTTCCAGTACCGGATCCAGTACAACCTCCAGCGGGACAAGCACAACTGCCAGCCCTGGATCTAGTGAAACCTCCAGCAGGACCAGTATAGCTTCCAACACTGGATCTAGTGTGACTTCCAGTGGGACCAGCACAGCTGCCAACATTACATCCAGTGCAACCGCCGGAAGCTCTGGCATACATTCTCCAACTGGAACACACACAACTTCCAATGGCACGAGCACTACTACTCCAGTGAATGAAGTGACACCCAGTGGGCCTCTGAAACCATGGGAAATCTTCCTCATTACTCTGGTCTCGGTTGTAGTGGCTGTGGGATTCTTTGCTGGGCTCTTCTTCTGTGTGGTGAGTGCCTAATATGTAGGAAAGTGCCTGGGAGAAGGACTAGTAGGAACATAAGGAAATGGGATATGAAGAGTGAGGTAACCAAGTTAGAGAGTGGGTAGGAAGGAAAGAAAGATCAGGAGAGTGTTACTAAAGAAAGGTAGGAAGTTACAGGCACCTGGGTGGCTCAGTCAGTTAAGCAACTGACTTCAGTTCAGGTCATGATCTCACAGGTTCATGAGTTCGAGCTCCACATTGGGGTCTGTGCTGACAGCTCAGAGCCTGGAGTCTGCTTCAGATTCTCTCTCTCTCTCTCTCTCTCTCTCTCTGCCCCACCCCCACTCACGCTCTGTCTCTCTCTCTCTCTCTAAAAAAAAATAAATAAACATTTAAAAGAAAAGCAGGAAGTTAGAATTGGGAAAGCCAATCAGTGTGCAGTGGAAACTATTGACTTGTGGGAAAACAAGGAGGAATAAAGCCTAAAGGAAGGAATACTTTAGAGAGAGAGGTCATATGAAGGGGAAGAAGAATCTGGAAGGAGTACATGGTTAAAGTTTGGGACAGGGGGATAAAATTTTGAAATGATTCATCCTTCTTTTTCTAGAGAAATTCCCTGTCTCTGAGAAACGTCTTTGACACAGCTGTCTACCGCCCCCATGGTCCCAACCTTGGCACAGGCCCTGAAGGGCATCATGGAGTCCACCACAGGCCTAGTTGGAGGCCTAACTGGTTCTGGAGGAGACCAGTATCCTCAGTAGCCATGGAGATGAGAAGGAGATACAATGGGCCCTGAGTGGCCCCTGAAGCCATAGTGCCACTTTTTTCAAGGAGGAAGCTGACCTGAGAGACCAGAGACCTGAATGTTCTTTCATTTATCTCCAAAAGTCCTCTCCCAGTTTTGTCTGGGTCTCTGGCAGCCTTGAGGAAGACATTCCCTCTCTCTTGCTTTTACCAGACTGTGGAAAGAAGAAAATCTATTGTCATTTAGCTAAGAAATAAACACATCCAAAATATATGACAGAGAGAATCTGTGTGCACATGAGTGGATGTCTACAGCACTGAATTGAATTTCCCAGTTCTGTGAGAAAACTCCCATGTCAGAACCCACATCCCATACAAAATCACAGTAAAATCCAGAAACCTCATTCCTATCTGTCCCCTTTCTCTAATCTTTATTGTCCCAAGCAGGACCCCTGTGTTTCTGAGACTCACCCATATTGACAGGAAAATTGAATTGGGATTGATGAGAATGGAGGGCAGGTGCTAGGATTCTACAGACTCACTGTATTAGGTCTCTGGTACACAGAGATTGTGTCATGACACATAGAGAACCCAAAGCAAGATGAGGTGGAGAGATGCTGGGAGCAGGGCATTTTCACTCAAATCATAGTATCCAGGACATTTACATTTGCCCTAGACCAAGGCTACTTGTCAGGATGAAGGTGTGAGTTGACACTTTTCTCTCTCACAGTGCTCTTTTCAGAAGCAGAAAAGGGAAAGACTTTCTAGCTTTAACCTTTCTGGCTAAGGTCTAACCTTTCAAGAGGCTCATGGCAGAGAAACCTGAGGTAAAGCCTGAGATTCTCATTAGTCTCCTCCCAGAAGAGCGGCACATATCTCTTTCATGGGTGTAAGGAAGAAAACAACCTGTTTCTACAGGTCTTGGAGGACAGAGAGGAGCTACTTTGGAAGGTTGAGTTGCTCCAAACCCACAAGGCATTGAGAGACAAAGCCCTCTGGGACAGAGCCCTCAGAGAATGAGCAGTTTGTTGGGGGATTCACCCCAACTTGTAGCAGTGGAAACTGCTCTGCCTTCCAACACTTACTGGGTTTCTCTAGTGTCAGCAAACCAGCTCATCCTAATCAATGAGGACACGCTAAGCCCTATGCAGGCCCATCATCATCGTCGTCGTCGTCATCATCATCATCATCATCATCATCTCATGTAAAGGGATCCAGCACCAGAAGGAGAAGCTGAGGGTTGAGAACCCTGAAAAGGTGCCTCCCATTGATGTGAACTGTGGAAAGCATACTGTGAATAGAAAATAAATGATAATGCTAAATGAAATAGGGCAATCAGAGAAAGACAAATATCATATGATTTCACTCATACGTAGAATTAAAAAAAACAGATGAACATAGGAGAAAGGAAGGAAAAATAAAATAAGATAAAAACAGAGAAGGAGGCAAACCATAAGAGATTCTTGAATGTAGAGAATAAAATGAGGATTAATGGAGGGTAGTGGTGGGGGGTTGACTAAATGGATGATGGGCATTAAAGAGGATCTTGTTGGGATGAGCACTGGGTGTTATGTGTAAGTGATGAATCACTAAATTCTATTTCTGAAACAAACAAACAAACAAAAGCAAGCGAGAAAGAAAAGAAAAAGAAAAGAAAAGAAAAGAAAAATAAAAGAAAATAAATGAGACAAAGCAAGGGAATCTATTTAGATAATTAAAAATTCTAAACATGGATTCTCAAGTTTACAATTGCAATAGACAAATGGAAAGAGACTGGCCACTGTTGTGAATAAAATTAGTAACATGGAAGAGCAAGTGGGGAAAATTGCTCAATTATACAAAACACAACAGTAAAGAAATGAAAATCACCCAGACAATAGAAGACACTTAGAGAATAGATTTAGGACAACTAACATGAAAATAATAAGGTTCAAAACAGAGAAAAAAAACCTCAAAGAAATAGTTGAGAAGGAAATGAACAGAAAAGAAAGATTTGGATCTGCACATGTAAGGGTTCACCAATTACAGCTCTGTAAATATAATAAAAATCATCGACTTATCTATTTTAAACAAGTGAACTATATGGTATGTATGTTCTATCTCAACAAAGCTATTAAAATATTATCAGGCATATAGTTAAAATTAAAATTTTGATTTCCAAAGATAAACACAAATGACTCAAAGCAATGGGCACTTCAACGTGGAGAAAGAAGGAAAGGCAAAAAAAACATGCTAAGCAATTTAGTGTGATCAATTCACATGGTTATGCTGTGAATATCTTACTACTCTCAGCAACTTTCATCATGGAATACACTTACATGGACTACACATGCTTTAACTTGACAAAGCCACATCTCATCAAGCATGTTTGACCCAAGCAGATTCTGAGAAGTGGACAAAATTAGTGTTGCCCCTTCCAGATCCCATGCTTTTGTACCATTGGTCTAGCACAAAGATCTTTATTTTAAAATTTTTTTCAAGTTTATTTATTTATTTTGAAGGAGTGGTGGGGGGGCACAGAAAGAGGGAAAGAGAGAATCCGAAGCAGGCTCTGCACTGACAGTGTGGAGCCTGAGGCAGGGCTCAATTTCACAAACCATAAGACATGAGTCAAAATCAAGAGTCAGACACTTAACCGACTGAGCCCCCCCACCCCGTACCTCCAAGCACAATAATCTTTAAATGGAGTCTGTTCCATACACCTGGAGGTACATAAGGATTTTCTAAAGAATATTATGCATGTATGGGATATTGTACAGGAATCATTTTTCATATTTTCATCTTTTGCCTAAATTGATTTGTCTGAGAAGACCTTTGTGGTCAGAGCATCAGGCTAGTTAGATTTTTCTAACTCCCCCTTAATGACTAACCACCTTTCTCTTTCTAGTTTCCATGTTATTATGGTGCATTTCTCTGGGGTGCAGAAAGTTCTAGTGCAAATAAAGGGTTATCTCAAAATTTCTTCTAATTTAGGATTATATACACAGAGTAGGGCTTCCTGTTTTCCCTAGCTTCATATAAAATCCTGTTAGGGGCTAAATGGAGTATAAGAAACTGGCAATTTTCATATATCTTAAGATGTTACATATACCAAAAATACAATATATCTATATTCAGACAGGTATATTGTAGAGTGAGATAGCAGGAGTATTAAGAATTTCTGTTTTAATAGTCTTTTCTCTTCTATTGCCTGTCAAAGAATGCATCACTCTTGAGGGAGCGTCTCATGAAAGTAGAGCAAAGACAGCATCAGTATGAAACAATAAAGGTGGCAGTGCCTTATTTAACCTAGGGAAAACCCTATGGAAAGTCAACCCACCTTATCTGTGCATCTTCTTATTTTAGAATATTCAAGATTGGCAAAAATTTGTTTGGAAACAGCAACTTAGATGAAGCACACTTCCCAGGTTTGTACATCATTCTCTGTCAGGAGAAAAAGTGCCCCACTCACCAGTTTCTTGCTTAGGTCACAGATGTATATTTTACATGATTTTAAGAAGGATGTTACAAGCTCCACATTTACTTCCAGATGATTCATGTTACATCCAAGGATGAAAGGAACATAGAGAGGCCTCATAGCATGTCATCTAAGAAGATAGATTGTGGAACTAGAATTTTTGGCTTCGAGTTTAAGCTCAGTGTGACCTTACACAAATTCCTGAACTCTTCTGGGCCTCAGTTTTCTCATCTGTAAAAATGAGGGTGATAACAGTACTCATTCCATGGGGTTGCATGCACTTCATGAGTGTATTGGTAGCACTACAAAACTGAAGCAAGAAGAAATAGAAAATTTGAACAGACCATTTACTAGCAACAAGTTGAATCAGTAAACAAAAAACTTCCAATAAATAAAAATCCAGCACCAGAAGGTTTCACAGGCAAATACCACCAACATTTAAAAAAGAGTTAATTCCAGGGCACCTGGGTGGCTCAGTCAGTGAGCATCTGATGTCAGCTCATGGTTTGTGAATTCAAGCCTCGCATTGGGGTTTCTGCAGTCAGCCCACACAGCCTGCTTCAGCTCCTCTGTCCCCACCCCCGCCCACTGCCTCTCTCTCTCTCTTTTGAAAATAAACATTAAAAAATTTTTAATAAATAAATAAGAGTTGGGGGCACCTGGGTGGCTCAGTCAGTTAAGTGTCCGACTTCGGCTCAGGTCATGATCTCACGGTTCATGGGTTTGAGCCCCGCATAGGGCTCTGTGCTGACAGCTAACTCAGAGCCCGTAGCCTGCTTCAAATTCTGTGTCTCCCTCTCTCTCTGACCCTACCCTGCTCTCTCTCTCGCTCTCTCTCGCTCTCTCTCTCGGAAATACATTAAAAAAGCATTTAACTTTTTTTAAATAAATGAGACTTAATTCCTATTCATCTCAAACTATTCCAAAAAAATAGAAAAGGAAAGAAAACTTCCAAATTAATTCTATGAGGCCACCATTACCCTTATACCAAAACCACACAAAGACACTACAAAAAGAGAGGACTACAGACCAATATCCCTGATGAACACAGATGGAAAATACTTCAACAAATTCTAGCAAGCCAAATCCAACAATACATTTAAAAACTCATTCATCATTATCAAGTGGAATTTAGTTCCAGAATGCAAGTGTGATTCAATATTTGCAAATCAATCAACATGATACATCACATCAATAAAGGGTAAAATCTATATGATCATTTCAATACATGCAGAAAAAGCATTTGATAAAATACAGCATCCATCCATTCATGATAAAATCCCTCAACAAAGTAGATTTGGAGGGAACATACCTCAACACAATAAAGATCTTATATGAAAAACCCACAACAAACATTGTACTCTATGGTGAAAACCTGAGAGCCTTTCCCCTAAGGAAACAAGACAAGGATGTCCATTGTCACCACTTTTATTCAACGTAGTACTGGAAGTCCTAGCCACAGCAATCGAACAACAAAAAGAAATGAAAGCATCCAAATAGATAAAGAAGAAGCAAAATTTTCACTATGACAGATGACATCATTCTATACATAGAAAACCTAAAGACTCCACCAAGAAACTACTAGAACTGATAAA